GAAAATAAAACAGATGTCAACAGTAATTCTCACTAATAAAAATAAAATGATACTAATAGGCAAGATTCAGGTAACTTTTGCTTCTTTTTAATTTCTTTATGTCTAAAATGTTTGCAGGGAATACAAATGGAATCTAATACACACACACACACACACACACACACACACACACACACACTTTAAACAAAACCTTGCCTTGTCTGAATCAGGAAGTTTTTTTTTTTAATAAAGTTTTCAATTCAGTGTTTTTTTGTGTTTGTTTTTTTTTAAAGATTTTTATTGGGGAATTGAGGGGATGGGAACAGTGCTGGGGAATTGGGGGAAGGGGAACAGACAAGTTGCCGTCGTTCTGTTCCTCAGTCTAGCTGTGGAGGGCGCCGCCCCACTGGCCCAAGTTGGCACCATCACTGCACTCTTCCCTGGCGAGGCAGATCAGTCGCCGGCTTCTGGACGGCCGCTCACTGCGGCTGCTGGCCACTCACGTTGGCTGCTGGCCACATACGGTAGNAAATCAGACAAAGATATTACAAAAAAAGAAAACTACAGGCCGATATCCCTAATGAACATAGATGCAAAAATCCTCAACAAAATACTAGTAAACCGAATTCAGCATCACATTAAAAAGAGCATACACCACGGTCAAGTGAGATTCATTCCTGGTATGCAAGGTTGGTTCAATGTCCGCAAATCAATTAACATAATACATCACATTAACAAAATGAAAAATAAAAATCATATTATCACATCAATAGATGCAGAAAAGGCATTTGACAAAATCCAGCAGCCATTTACGATACAAACTCTTAGCAAAGTGGGAATAGTGGGATCATATCTCAACATAATAAAGGCTATATATGATAAGCCCACAGCAAACATCGCACTCAATGGGGAAAGGCTAAAAGCTTTCCCCTTAATATCAGGAACAAGACAAGGCTGCCCACTTTCACCATTTCTATTCAACAGTTCTGGAAGTTCTGGCCACAGCAATCAGACAAGGAAATGAAATAAAAGGCATCCAAATTGGAAAGGAGGAAGTAAAATTGTCATNATACGGTAGCCCATGGCAACCCACTGCAGCAGGGGCTGCAGCCTACGCCGTCGCCGGCGACTCATGGCAGCCCAGCTCCAGGTCGAGCTGTTGCTCAGCACCCCAGCTGTGGAGGGCAGTGTCACCGGCCCTCATATATGGGATCCGAACCGGGGCCCTCTGGCATCCCAAGCGAGTTCTCAACCATCGCACCACTCGGCCGGCCCATGAATCAGGAAGATTTTAATTTGAGGTTCAAGTGAGAAAGTGGATATGCAAGGGCTTTGAGGTGTAAAGCCCCTACCAGTGGTTCCCAAGCTTGTCTGCACATTGGGGTCACCTGAGGAGTTTCAAACATACTAATGCTTAGGCCCCACCCTCAGAGATGTAATTTAATTGGTCTGGGCTTTGGCATTTTTGAAAGGTCCCAAGTGACTAAGGACAGGTCAGCTTGGGAAGCATTGCCATCTATGGTTGTGCTGGGGGTAGGGGGGTAGGGGGAGGTGCTGCACCCCAGCTGTCAGATCTTCCTCCTCACCCCTAATCTATCCCACATGCTGAGGACATGTGGAGCCTGATTGAGAGGACTCAGGCTGGGAGATGGGGTGTAGACATCTCAGAGTCAGCCCAGGGGCTGATGCTGCCGGCTGCCACCCTGCAGAGCAGGCTAGGACTCCAGAGGCTTGCCCATTCACTCAGTAAATAAATATTTCCTGAGCATTTACCCTGAGCCAGGTCCTGAGGACCCAGTAGCAAACAAGACAGCCCAGCGGAGTCTTGATTCTAGTTCCCATCCCCTTTTCTCTTACACTGGGGGCATGTCACGTCCAGCGTGGCAAGGGCAAATGGGTCTCGAGTGGGGCGACGCAGATTGAATAAAGTCAAGAGACAAAAGTTAGATTTGAGCGAGACCAAGGGACTCAGCCAGAGAAGACTGAGCCCCGAATCGGGTCAGCGCTTGGCTTTTAATGAGAATTTTCAAAGAAGTAAAACTGCTGTCAATCAAATTAGCATCCCTTTGAGGTTTGTGCCTTAAAGCCTTTTTCATTAACATATCCCATTGTGTTCCAGCAAATCCTATGCCTTCATACATCCGCCACATAGCCCCAGGACACCTTGTTACTGTGTCCTCCTAAGGGAGATGACTGTTATCATTCCAACAGGTCCCAGTCACATCTGAGACACCCCCCAGAGGGAGCTTTACCAGCCTCGGTCATACCGAGACGCTCCCTCAGAGAGTTTCCCGGCCTCGGTCATACCGAGACTTTTCCCTCATAACTAATAGGGTTAGAGGCTAATGCAGGGGGGCGTGGTATTGGAATCGGCTATAATGCAACAGGGGCAGGGGCTAGAGAGACCCCTTTCAAGCTGACTCACAGCCAGGGCTGGGGTTCCCCTGAGCCCTTCCCACAGAGCCTCCCTGGGGGACCTGCTTGGTCTCTGGGGCCCCATGGCAGCAACTTGCTTGAGGGCAGCTGAGAAGAGACAGGATGGGGGGGGCCTCTGTGAATTCTGCCACCAGCACCCCTCAGACTCGATCCAGGGTCTGCAGGGGAAGGAGGAACCGAGGGAATACCCCCAATACCCTAACTGCCCTGGACGAAAGCTGTAATTGAGCCACTCTTTTGGCATTTGGCATTGCTTTTTTATTTCTTCCGCCTGGCCCAGGCCTGCCTGCCAGTGGCATGACTAGAGAGGAGGAGAGGGGAAAGAAAGGGAAGGAAGAAGGGATGGGGAGAGGGGAAGAAAGGCTGAAGGGCCGTGGCCCCGCTCCACCTAAGCGTCCGTACCTTCCTATAAGGAGCTCCATAACTTCATGGTTAAACTTGTGGGTGCTGGAGCCTGGGTTTAAAACTCCACTCCACCACTTGCTGTGGACAAGTGACTCAGTTCTCTATGCCTCACTTCCCTCATCTGTCAAATGGGGATAAGAACAGGCCCAATCTCATAGGGTTGATGTGAGGATTAAATAAGGCAACACAATTTAAGTGCTCAGAACAGTGCCTGCCACATAGTAGGTGCCTGGTAAATGATGGCTGTTGCTCTGCTCCTGCCCACCCTCAGTTCCAAAAAGCTCTCTTCCCTAACACCCCTGCACAGGCTCCGTTTTATCCCCCTGCCCTTCCCGTCTCACTCCACACCCAGTCCCACCCTTCCTTCCTTTCTTTTTTCCTCCACCCTTCTTTTCTTAATCAACCTCAAGCTAAGTTGTGACCAGAGCCCCCTTGGCTGACATGCCCTGAGAACTCACCACTTGCCTGGAAGTTCACTCTGAAAGTCTACCTTGAGTCCCTCCTGCTTCTCTCCTCACCTGCCTCGTACTGCTTTGAGGTTCCTGAGCTTTGCTTGCTGACTTGAAGTCCTTTGACAGGGGGAAAGGCTGGAGGCCCCTCCATAGCTATACTCTGCACAGAAGCTGGATGTAGCTAGAAAAAGCCAAGAGAGGGTTCTGGGCAGGTGTGCAGTCCCTTCCAGCACCCCACCTCTAGGGAACCTGAGTTAGCTGCCTGAGGCTGGGGCAGGGCTGAGAGGGGAGGGGCAGGCCGAGGGGCCACTTCTGCACTGGGTCCCCCCAAGGACAGGGGCTCTATCTGCTCTACTGACTCTCCTAGGAATCGTACCCTGCCTGCCTCATTAACTTACTGACTCACGGAAATCAGAGGTGGGTCCCTGCCGGGTACCCAGACCCCAGAGAGGGAACCATTCACAACAGCAGGGCTTGCCCCCACCCTTGTCCTGGGCCTGGCACCACTCACTTCAGCCCACCTCATCCTGTCCTTGTGTCTCTGTGTCTCTCTGTCTTTCTCTGAGCATACTACAGCCTCGAAACTGCTCAGAGCAGGGGGAGGTTTGGGGGCCAACAGAGAGGATCCAGAAAGGAAGGAGACACTGAGGGTAAAAAAGAATCAGTAAGGGCCAGGAACAGAATAGGCTGGATCATGGGAACCATTCTGCATATAGTCTAGAGGTTGAAAGGGGTCCATTAAGGACATCCGACCCAACCTTCGGTGGCCTCGATGCCTGACTCTTCTGCACCTCACCTCTTGCCAAGTGTCACCTGGCTTCTGCTTGTATGTCTCTAGTGACAGAGAGCTCACTGCTGCTGAGGCATCCCTTGTAGAATTGAGCAGACGGACAGGGGCCAAGAGTGCAGACGGATTAAACGAGTAGGAGGACTCCGTTCTCTATCTCCTGCCCTCCCTCCTTCTCCTACATTCTTTCCCTCTGTACCTATGTCTCTTGCGGTGTCTTTGCTTGTCTCTCTGTGACACTGGGGTTTCCTCTGATTCAGCTGAGGAATTCACCCGCATGATGACAAAGCAGCAAACTCAGTGCCCTGCATGCCCTGGACCGCAGTACGGGATGAGCATTGCTGTGGTTACCAGTCAGATGACACAGACAACATTTGCAGCAAACACATGACAGGAGATTTCCGACACTGAGAGGCTGTCTCTCTGAGTCTCTCAAAGCAAGCTCCCCCAAGGGCACTGAAAACCCCAGCCTGGGGGTTGTATAATGTGCAGCCACCTTTTGGGAGACGAATGTTGCACAATTCTGGGAACTCCCATAAAGGCTCCAAAAAAGAGCCCACAAGTGATGGGATCCAGTTTCCCCGGCTGTTTCCCAGGCCCTCACCTGTCGCATCTCAGCTGCACACCCAGAGACTGCACCATGGGACACCAAGGCGTTGGGGCAGGGGGCGAGATCCCTGCATGTGACCCCTCAGAGGCAGGTCTTCGGGAAAGGGAGGAGGGCTGGGGCTCAGGGAACCGGGAGCGGGGCCTGCCAGGGCCATTGCTCTCCCCCCTTGTGGTTCTTGCTCCCTTGTGTGCAAACAGCCACAGTGAGTGAGACAAGGTCCACCGGCTTGGCCCGGCATGCAACAGCGGGACTGCTTTAATGAACAGAGTACTTGGTAATTAACAGGCGAGAGCAATTAGCAATCAGCACCAAAGCAAGCTTGTCTGAAAATTTCTCTCCCTCCATCTCAACATTTATTTATATTTCTGATCGTATAGGAATACCCAGTCAGTGTAGAAAATCTGAAAATACAAATATGAATAAAAAGGAAAATAACACCCCGTCCCACATTCACCCTATAATTTTACCACCCAGACACATGTGGCCAATATTGTGGTGTATTTTCCTTAATTTGTCTCTTAGACTTTTCCTTTCTTTAAAGAGTCCCCACCCCCACCCCCACCCCCACCCCCAGGCTTATTTGCTCAGCAAAATCCTTCAGAAAGCAAAGGGCAGTGTCAGTGCAGCCCCTGCCCTGAGATCTGAGTCCTGACCTGAGGAGGCTTCTCCTGAGCTTCCGAGCTGGCCCTCTCTGTCGTTGCTGTGTCCAGGCAGGTGGGACAGGGGCTGAGGAACAGGAAACCCAGGGGATGGGCCGTCCCACCCCAGCCAGGCCGGGTGGTCAGGAGCAGCAGCCAGCTTTCTTCGGTTGCTTCTCCAGGGCCACCTCCACTAGCGAGCCCTTCAGGTGGTCTTCCTGCCTCTTGAGCAACCTACATGAACACATCCAGACGTCAGTCCTCTCTCTCACTTCCCAGGGGCAGCAGGGAGGGGCCCGGGGGTGAAGCTGGGAAGCAGGGCATGTGGCTGCACCCCTCGGGGCTCCTCTCTCCCACCTGCCCTGCCCCTGCCCTACATCCCACGTAGCAACAGAAAAACGGAGCCATGGAGACTTTGACTGTCTGTCTTTTTTCTGGCATTCTTTCCTGCCTACTGTGTGCTGGGCACGATGCAAGGGACTTTGATTATGATGGCGAAGCCATCATGTCTTCAGCAGTGAGGGGAGCAGGGAGGAAACATCAGGTCTCAGGAGTGAGGAGCACCCTGAGGGATTAGGGAGGGAAAAGGCAATGTCGGGGCTGAGACTAGTGGTGGACAAGGGTTTGCTAGCAGAAAAAGAGGGTCCATTCTGGGCAGAGGGCAAAGGCTCAGTGTCAAGAGTGAGTTGGATTGCTCTGCCCAGCACGGCTATCGCTTAAAATTGAAGGAGAGATAAAGAGCTTCTCAGAAAAGAATAAGCTGAAGGAATTCATTATCACCAAGCCAGCACTGCAGGAAATGCTAAAAAGGCTTTTTTAAACAGAAGAAAGGGGAAAACAAGCTAACCCAGGAAGATCAGAAATACAAATAGCAAAATGACAATAAATATGCACCTATCAATAATCACTTTAAATGTGAATGGATTCAATGCTCCAATCAAAAGACGTAGAGTGACTGAATGGATAAGAAAACAGGACCCATGCGTATGCTGTTTACAAGAGACTCATCTCAGATCAAAAGACACACACAGACTGAAAGTAAAGGGGTGGAATAAGATATTTCACGCAAATGGAAATGAGAAGCGAGGGTAGCAATACTTACTTCAGACAAAATAGACTTTAAAATGAAGACTACAATAAAAGACAAAGAAGGACACTACATAATAATAAAAGGATCGATTCAACAAGAGGACATAACCCTAGTAAACACCCAACATAGGAGTTCCTAAATATATAAAACAGATTTTGACAGACATAAAGACAGAGATCAACAGCA